TCCCATCACCTCCTGCCTGGTCCTTGTAACTAGAGATGCGGGGATTGAACCTGGGACCTTCTGCATGCCAAGCAGAGGCTCTTCCAGTGAGCCACAGCCCCTCTTTACAGCTCTCCAGGGTCTCAGGCAGAGAGAGGTCTTTCCCATCACCTCCTGCCTGGTCCTTTATAGCTGGAGATACCAGGGATTGAACCTGAGACCTTCTGCATGCCAAGCAGATGCTCTACCGCTGAGCCACAGCCCCCCTTTACAGCTCTCCAGGGTCTCTGGCAGAGAGAGGTCTTTCCCATCACCTCTGCCTGGTCCTTCTAACTGGAGATGCTGGGGATTGAACCTAGGACCTTCTGCAAGCCAAGCAGATGCTCTACTGCTGAGCCACAGCCCCCCTTTACAGCTCTCCAGGGTCTCAGGCAGAGAGAGGTCTTTCCCATCACCTCCTGCCTGGTCCTTCTAACTGGAGATGCCGGGGATCGAACATGGGACCTCCTGCATGCCAAGCAGAGGCTCTTCCCACTGAGCAACAGCTCCTCTTGACAGCTCTCCAGGGTCTCAGGTGGAGGTCTTTCCCATCACCTGCTGCCTGGTCCTTTAACTGGCAATGCCGGGGATCTAACCTGGGACCTTCTGCATGCCAAACAGAGGCTCTACCACTGAGCCACAGCTCCTCTTCACAGCTCTCCAGGGTCTCAGGCGGAGGTCTTTCCCATCACCTCCTGCCTGGTCCTTTTTAAATGGAGATGCCGGGGATTGAACCTGGGACCTTCTGCATGCCAAACAGAGGCTCTACCACTGAGCCACAGCTCCTCTTCACAGCTCTCCAGGGTCTCAGGCGGAGGTCTTTCCCATCACCTCCTGCCTGGTCCTTTTTAAATGGAGATGCCGGGGATTGAACCTGGGACCTTCTGCATGCCGAGCAGATGCTCTTGCACTGAGCCACCCCCATTGCCCTATGGTCCTCTTCAGACACAAATGCAGACATAAATACCAAACATGGGGCATGAGTTCTTTAGAAAAAATGATTACTTTTATTGAAAATGGTTAACACTTTATACAAGGTCCCTGTAGAAAAATCTTCCCCCCTCAGGTTTTTCGGGCACAGATTTGGACTGACATGCAACTTTTTTTTTTGCCAACAAGGGTTGAAAGCAGATTGACCTGACGAAGGACATCCAGTAGGGTTTGTGGCAGTGTGGAAAACAGAACCTGGGCCCCAGACCTCCACACGAGAGCCAGCTCAGTTTAGGAGCAGGGAAGGTGGACAATATTTCTCTCTATTCTGTGCTGATGCTTTCCACATAACGATCAGGCTAGCTTTCTCCAGTGCAGCAATCTCCTCCCCACAACAGACACCCTGTGAGGTCGGTGGGGCTGAGAGAGCTCTGACAGAAACTCCTCTTTTTCAAGGACAGCTCTTGTCAGAACTATGGTCATCCAGCCAGGTGCAAGTGGAGGAGCGGGGAATCAAACCTGGTTCTCCCAGATTAGAGTCCGCGCACTTAACTGCTACACCAAACTGGCTCTCAAGATGGGCATCTTCCGCTGCTTTTATAAAGGAAGACGTACAAAGGGACTGCGTGGCGAGGAAGTTGGTAGCGGAGCCACCCTTGGGAAGAGAAGGAGCCGAGAAAACACAGTCTGGTTGCCTCTTCCCAACAATAAGAAGAAGAAGAAGAAGAAGAGATTGGATTTATACACCACCCTTCACTTAGAGTCTCAGAGCGGCTTACAAACTCCTTTCCCTTCCCCTCCGCACAACAGACACTCTGTGAGGTGGGTGGGGCTGAGAGAGCTCTTGACAGAAACTGCTCTTTTTCAAGGACAGCTGTGCCAGAGCTTGTGACTGACCCAAGGTCACATCAGCAGGTGCAAGTGGAGGAGTGGGGAATCAAACCCGGTTCTCCCAGATTAGAGTCCATGCACTTAACCACGACACCAAACTGGCTCTCTGTAAGAGAAATTCCCCCTAAGTCTGGATGCTTCACTGGTATTTCATGGTGACGATCTACACATTTTCCCTGACCTGGATGGCCGTGGCTGGATCTCAGAAACCAAAGAGGGTCCGCTCTGGTTGGTACTTGGATGGGAGACCACCAAGGAAGGCCAGGGTTGTGACACAGAGGCAGGCGATGGCAAACCACCTCTGCTCGTCTCTTGACTTGAAAACCCCATAGCTTGACGCCCTTTCCACCACCACCCCACCATTTACACGTTTTGGGGCGGAGCTTCCTTATCAAATGGAAAGGCAAGAAAGAATCATACAACCAAGATCATCAGCAGTGGTTATATAACAGGCACAATGAGCACGCACACGCACACGCACACACACGCACATACACACGGACGTTAATATATATAAATATACACATTTCTTTTACGAAAGGGAGAGCCGTGTGCCAAAGGCACGCCCTCTGCTCCCGGAAGGAGAGCAGGAAGGTGCCATCCCTTGGGGTTCCTTCTTCAACGCCTAGGAAGTTACTTGCGCTCCGTCTCTGTTCGGTATTATACGTAATCTTTCCCTCCAGAGGGGGCGCTCTTTGGGTACGGCCGGGATGGAGGGTAGGAGGTCTCTCTTCGGGGACAGGAGCAGGACAGGAAGGCCCCTCCCAAGATGGCCAGGGAAGCAGCCGCCCAACCGACGAAGAGAGCTTGCCCGAATTCGTATCTAGAGGGAAGGACGAAAATTCAGTTACTCGCTAGCAAAGCGGACGCTTTCAAACCCACCAAATAACGCAGGGGTGTCGAACTCATTTGTTACGAGGGCTGGATCTGACATAAAGGAGACCTTGTTGGGCCGGGCCATGAGTGTCATAAAATGTAATGCCAGGTAGCGGAGAGATAAACTTTATCAAGGACACAAACACAAAGGGTTGTTTTTTTACTTAAAATAAAAACATGCTTGAAACATCAGCACTCTTGCAATGTTTTGCTTATTTAACAGTGTCTGATGACAGACGCCTCTTGCTCTGAATTACTGCATTAAAATGTCTGTGCTGTTGCAATCCTGAGTATGCTGTTCGGGTGTGTCTCTGTAAAGCTGCAAACCTACGATGACGCAGCAGCAGAACTGGAAGAAGAAACAGAAGACAGCCAATTTCACTGAGGGCCTGATAGAAGCCCTCCGGGGGCCTGATCAGGCCCCCGGGCCGCATGTTTGACACCCCTGAAATAACACATTTTCGGTGCACTTTGCAACTGGCTCTCCATTCCGCACTGACGTGTTTGTCACCCGTTTGTCCCCATTGCTTCAGTGCTCTCCCCCCCCCGAAGTGTTTTGCCCTCTCTAGTAGTCCCAGAGGGACCAAAACACATGTGGAAAAGGAGGGGGGGGGACCCAAAGCAACAGGGACACACAAGTGACAAACATGTCAGTGCGGAACCTGTGAAAACGGCAAAATCCACTTGCAAATGGTCGCCGAAGTGGACCGAAGCAGCGTTATTTGGCATGTGTGAAGGTCCCCGTTTCCCACTGCTGCTCATTCGTGAGAATCAGGTAGTCAAACTGACATCTTCCCAGCATTGATAAAAACTTTAACTGGCACAGAAGCTACACCGAGGCCGCGGTCACACAGTCCTTTTGATCGGGTTTCACCGCTGTTCCCTCCCGCATTTAAGTTTGCCGATGAGACAGGCGAATCCGCCTCCTGCGCCGAAGCGGGCTCACTCCCGCAATGCTCCCGGGTTTTCCTGCCCCAGGGAAGATCAAGTATTTTCCTGGCACTTGCGCTTTGAATGCAAGTTCGCCCATCTGGACAGCCATCTTTCGCAATGATTGCGATTAAAGCCGTCTGACCACTCTGTGCATTTTTTGTTTTTTTTAAAAAAACCTTCCGGCTTTGAGTGCTTGAGTAAACAAGTGCTCGTCCTGCTTGGAGAACCGTCCTGCCCGCCATCCCCCGGCATGGAGGCGGTGTTGAAATTTTCCAGGGGAGGAAGCGGGAGGGGGCTGTTAGGCGAGCGGGCTTTGGCCTCCACCCCAGGAGTCCCCGACGCTGCGGTGTTAGGAGGGAGGGAGCCCCCGGTGCCGGGGAGCGCGCCCAGCTAGCCAGCAGCATTGGGCGGAAAGGAGAACTCTTTCACAGGTGCCTTTTTCTTTTCTTTTCATCGGGCCGGTGGCTGGAAAGTTGCTGGGGCGGGGGAGGCGGGCAGGCGGGGAAGGCGAGCTTGCGGTTCGGGGAGGGATGTGTGAACATCCCAACCCGGGAAAAAATATTCCGGTTTTAATTACATCGGGAACAAAGCACAGTTGCCTTGCCCTGCAACCACAGTCTGAGATGCTTCCTTCCTCTGCGTGTGTCCCCCTCCCCACCCCAGGATAGAAACAGGGTTGCAAGGTCCCTGCTGGTGACCATGGTTGCCACCTCCAGGTTGGGAGATTCCTGGAGATTTGGGGATGGAGCCTGGGGAGGATAGGGGACCTCAGTGGGGTACGATGCCATAAAGAGTCCACCCTCTAAAGCATTCCATTTCTCCAGAGGAACTGATTTCCATAGTCTGGAGCAATGCTCCCTCTCTAAGCTGTAGAGTCTTCTGAGCAAAAATTCTACTTTGTGAGCTCCTGGCATTAAAGTTGTGAGCGAGTGATTTGGTTACTGCATAAATTAGTATGCACTGGAGCCATCCTTCTTGAGCTAGGACAAAAATGTGTGAGCCGGAGGCTAAAAAACTGTGAGCTAGCTCACACTGACTCAGCTTAGAGGGAACACTGGTCTGGAGCAGTGTTCCCTCTAAGCTGAGTTAGTGTGAGCTAGCTCACAGTTTTTTAGCCTCCGGCTCACACCTTTTTGTCTCAGCTCAGGAAGGAGGGCTCCAGAGCAAACGGATTTATGCAGCAGCCAAATCACTTGCTCACAACTTTAATGCCAGTAGCTCACAAAGTAGAACTTTTGCTCACAGGACTCCACAGCTTAGAGGGAGCATTGGTCTGGAGGTGAGCTGTAATTCCAGGGGATCCCCACATCCCACCTGGAGCCCGGCATCCCCAGACAGAAAATCCGGTTTCACAGAGTGGCAGATGAGTTTTATCAACCTGCTTCTGCCCCCTATCCTGAATGTTCAAGGCATGTGGAACAGCAAAGCACTCGGGGCTCGATCCACTGATATTTCTGCCTTGTGCAACCTCACAACGCTTTCCAGTCCCCGTCTTTTCTCTTTTTCTCTGAACGGCGACCGAAGCACAAGGGCAAAGAGGTGAGGCCTCCTTCCAAGGAAAAGAGAGATCCTGAAGCTTCGATGCAGTTATGGTGAGTTTCCCTTTTATACCGTGTTTAATCCCACAGAGTCCCCACACAGGAAGTTCTGGAGGAAGATACAGGGCTGAGGCAGCTGAGTCTCCCATGAGAACACCAGAAGAGCCCTGCTGGATCAGACCAGTGAGGGTCCATCCAGTCCAGTATCTTATCTCACACAGCAGCCAACCAGTTCCTCTGGAGGTCCAGCAACAGGGCACAGAGGCCAAGGAGTTGTTTTAATTATGGCCTGGTGCCTAATTTGTTAGCCGCCCTGAGCCTGTTTGGGGAGGGCGGGATATAAATCGATTATAAATAAATAAGAACATCAGAAGAGCCCTGCTGGATCAGACCAGTGGTCTATCCAGTCCAGCCTCCCGTCTCATACAGGGGCCAGCCAGTTCCTCTGGAGGGCCAGCAACATGGCAGAGAGGCCAAGGCCTTCCCCTGATGTGGCCTCCTGGCTCTGGGATCCAGAGGATTCGTGCCTCTGAACGTGGAGGTTCCCCTCAGTCACCAGGGCTAGTAGCCATCGACAGACTCGTCCTCCATGAATCTATCTAACCCTCTTTTAAAACTGTTTGTTTCTGTGGCCGACATGACATCCTCTGGCAGCGAATTACACATTTTATCCGCTCTGTGTAAAGGGGTATTTCCTCTTGTCTGTCCTGAACCTCCTGCCCATCAGCTTCATTGGATGGGTTAGAGTCAGGGGTTAGGGTTAGTATTTTGGGAGAGGGAGGAAGAGGTCTCCTTGTCCACTCTCTTCACTCTGTCACGTCCCCCCTGAGTCTTCTCTTTTCTCAACTGAAAAGTCCCAGAGACTCTTCAGCCTTTCCCCACGAGGGAAGGGGCTCCAACCAGTGTTCCCTCTAAGCTGAGTTAGCATGAGCTACCTCACAGTTTTTTAACCTCCGGCTCACACATTTTTTTGTCTCGGCTCAGGAAGGAGGGCTCCAGAGCAAACTAGTTTATGCAGCGGCCCAATCGCTCGCTCACAACTTCAATGCCAGGAGCTCACAAAGTAGAATTTCTGCGCGCAAGGCTCCACCGCTTAGTGGGAGCTTTGGCTCCAACCCCCTTCACCATCTTGGTCGCCCTCTGTTCTTTTTACCATCTCTGCAATGCCCTTTTGGAGAGACGGGGACCAGAACTGGTATTAATAACTCCAGAACCCCATCTTGCAATTAATGATCTATGTAACATTTAGAAGAAGAAGAAGAGAAGAGACTGGATTTATACCCCGCCCTTCACTTGGAGTCTCAGAGCGGCTTACAAACTCCTTTCCCTTCCCCTCCTCACAACAGACACCCTGTGAGGTGGGTGAGGCTGAGAGACCTCTGACACAAACTGCTCTTTTTCAAGGGCAGCTCTGACAGAGCTTGTGACTGACCCAAGGTCACATCAGCAGGTGCAAGTGGAGGAGTGGGGAATCAAACCTGGTTCTCCCAGATTAGAGTCCGCACACTTAACCACTACACCAAACTGGATTAGAGCACCGACACTTTAGTGTATTGCATTGTATTGTATTGTTTTATTCTGTTTTTACTGTTTTAACTTTGGCATTCATGCCTCGTTGTTAGCCGCCCTGAGTAGGCTTGCCAATTCCCCCCGGGGGGCAGGGAAACCCCTGCCCCAGAGGCCCGTTTCCTGCCGGCGGCGGATCGGGCCCCGGGAGGAGCCCCACCCCGACGTGCGCGTCATCTGGAAGTGACGCAACCACGCTGAGCACGCTGGGGGCGGGACCACGGTCATCCGAGGGAAAACTCTATGGTTTCCCCTCGGATGGTCGTGCCCCGCCGCCAGCGTGCCCGGTGTCGTCACGTCACTTCCGGCGGCGACACGTCACTTCCGGCATCATCACACCACTCAAGCCGCCAGCCGGGAGTCCCCTGCTGCGGCACAACGCCGGACTTGGCAACCCGAGCCCTGAGCCTTTAGGGAGGGCGGGATATAAATCCATAAATCCATAAATAAATAAATAAATAAATAAGCAAACAAACTATACACAGTATTCCAAATGAGGCCCCACCACAGATCTCTCCAGGGGCAATATCAACTGTTTTATTCCCAGTCCCTTTCCTAACGACCCCGAACAGATAGAGTTTGTCTTTCCCACTGTGTTCCAGCCCACCGGGTCGACCCTTTCAGATTCCAATTACCTGGTGTTGACTGGTGTGTAAGGGTTGAAGAAGTCCCGAGCCACGCGGTTTCCGTACCACGATGTGGCCACCAAGGCTGCAAATCCTGTCGGGAGAGACGAGACAAAGAGAAAGCGGCACTCGGTCAATGGGCAGCGTTTTGGAAAAGAGGAAGGTACCTTGCCCAGGTTTGTTGGGTGTTTCCAAGAGGAAGAAGAAGAGATTGGATTTATACCCTGCCCTTCACTACCCAAAGGAGTCTCAGAGCGGCTGACAAACTCCTTTCCCTTCCCCTCCCCACAACAGACACCCTGGGAGGGAGGCGGGGCTGAGAGAGCTCTTGACAGGAACTGCTCTTTTTCAAGAACAGCTGTGCCAGAACTACGGCTTGCCCAAGGTCATCCAACCAGGTGCAAGTGGAGGAGTGGGGAATCGAACCCAGCTCTCCCAGATTAGAGTCCACACACTTAGAAGAAGAAGAAGAAGAGGAGATTGGATTTATACCCCGCCCTTCACTACCCAAAGGAGTCTCAGAGCAGCTCACAAACTCCTTTCCCTTCCCCCTCCCCACAACAGACACCCTGGGAGGTAGGTGGGGCTGAGAGAAACTGCTCTTTTTCAAGGACCGCTCTGACAGAACTGTGGCTTGCCCAAGGTCATCCAGCAGGTGCAAGTGGAGGAGTGGGGAATCAAACCCAGTTCTCCCAGATTAGAGTCCATGCAGTTAACCACTACACAAGAAGAAGAAGAAGAGGAGGAAGAGGAGGAGGAGATTGGATTTATTCCCCGCCCTTCACTACCCAAAGGAGTCTAAGAGTGGCTTACAAACTCCTTTCCCTTCCCCTCCCCACAAGGTCACAGCAGCAGCTGCATGTGGAGAAGTGGGGAAATCGAGTCCGTGCTCCTAACCACTACACTAAACTGGCTGTAGCAGGAGACCTCCTAGTACCCCATTGCTTTGCCTGCCAGTGCCTGAAGTGCTGGTGGGAGGAAATGGGGGGGGGGGATTGGGGTATGCTCCAACAATTTGATGTCAATTCCATCAACAAACAGAAGGTTTTTTGCAAAGCCTAGATTAAAAAGGATATTATAGCTTTGGAAAAAGTGCAGAAAAGGGCAACTCGAATGATAAAAGGTTTGGAACACTTTCTCTATGAGGAAAGGTTAAAGCGCTTAGGGCCGTTTAGCTTGGAGAAAAGACGACTGAGGGGTGACATGATCGAGGTTTATAAGATTATGCATGGAAAAGAGCAGGTAGAGAAAGAGGTACTTTTCTCCCTTTCTCACAATACAAGAACTCGTGGGCACGCCATGAAACTGCAGAGCGGTCGGGTTAGAACGGATAAAAGGAAGTACTTCTTCACCCAAAGAGTGATTAACACATGGAATTCACTGCCACAGGAAGTGGTGGCGGCTTCAGGCATGGACGGCTTCAAAAGGGAATTAGATAAGCATATGGAGCAGAGGTCCGTCAGTGGCTATTAGCCACAAGGTATAGATAGGGGCTCTGGGGCAAGTGATGCGTTGTCTTCTTGGTGCTTGGGGGGGGGTCAACAGTGGGAGGGGGCTTCTAATGTCCTGGCCCCACTGGTGGACCTCCTGATGGCCCCTGGTATTTCTGGCCACTGTGTGACACAGAGTGTTGGACGGGATGGGCCTTTGGCCTGATCCAACATTGGCGTCTCTTATGTTCTTATGTTCTTATCATCTGGGATTTGCAAAGCTCTAGGATTTGCAAAGGCTCTGTGGTTTTACCATAGAGTTTTTGTAAATCCTAGAGCATCCCATGGCAGTTTTTACTCGAAGCAGCATCAGTGCGCCAGCATGATGCTTCCATGTCAGTCCCCACCCCCTGCAAACTCCTGGGTGTTGCTCTTGTCAACCACATGAAGAGATTAAACTTCTAGGGGTCAGGGGTCAGGCATGATAGCCGAACCATCTCTCCCTGGCGATGTTTTACAGCTCTACTGTTTGCTCGTGGTATGCAGGATGCAGCTTTTGGAAAACACGGTCTGGCCAAGGATTTCTGCGGCGGAGGACCGAAGGTGTCACAATCTCCTCCCCAGCACTGCCCATCCCCTGAAAGGAAAGGAAATGAAACCCCGGGCTGAGGAAAGGCCTGCTTCAGTCTAGCAACTCGACTCACCTGAGACCAGGAAGATAATGCCCCCAATCAGAGCCATCAACACTTTCTTGGGTTCATCATTCTCCAAACACTTCATGCATTTCATTCCGATCATGGCGACAAACGTCCCTATGAGGCCCAAAAGGATGCTTGCCACCATCAAGGCCCGTGTGGCCTGGAGAAAGCCTGTAAAAGAGACATCAAATCATTGAATCGCAGAGGCTGCAAGGGGCCACAGGGGCCATCTAAATTTGAGAAACCTGTGGGGGAACATTTCGGCCTTCCAGGGCACTCAGTGGGGGACCTCAGAGTCGCTGTTTTATTGCAAAGGAATTTCAGAAACAGAATGGAATGGGAGACGGCTGAATTACAAGTTATTACAACACTCGGGACAATGGAAGCCCCAGGGCTTAACAGCGACATCGGGTTCTTATCTCACTACACATGCTAAGTCAGTCGTTTCTTCCTTATACCCAGAATTAAACTTGTTGGTCTTAAAAGGTGCCACTGGACTCAAACTTAGTTCTCACATCTGTTTGTTAACTTTTTATTTGTCTCGATGGACTGAGAGCCTGATTCAGTAGAAGGCAGTTTCACGAACCAGTTTGGTGTCGTGGTTAAGTGCACGGACTCTAATCTGGGAGAACCAGGTTTGATTCCCCACTCCTCCACTTGCACCTGGCTGGATGACCTTGGGCAAGCCGTAGTTTTGATAAGAGCTGTTCTTGAAAAAGAGCCATTTCTGTCAGAGCTCTCTCAGCCCCGCCTACCTCACAGGGTGTCTGTTGTGGGGAGGGGAAGGGAAAGTATAAGCTTTCCCTTATTCTCAGTATAAGCTTTCGTGTGTGTGCACACTTCCTCAGAGTGGAAAGAGCCTCCCCAAACCTCTTTTCACTGTCTCTAAAGAAGTGTGCGTGCACACAAAAGCTGATACCCAGAATTAAATTGTGTTGCTCTTAAAGGTGCCGCTGGACTCAAACTTTGTTCTGCTGCTTCAAACCAACACGGCGGCCCCACCTGGATCCAGCCAAGCTTCCGTGAGAGGAACAACTACAAAAAGAAGGAAGTTCTGCAGGAGCAGGAAGTCTTCAGAAGACGGAAGAGCCAGTTGGGAGACAGCAAGAACGTCATTCGAAGTTGTGGGCAGTCCCTAATCTAGCTAGGCTGACTACCAGTCCTTCAGTTTTCCCCCTGCAGGGCGAGCGTCAGATTTTCTTCGTAAAGCCGGACTATAGACCTTGCATATTCCAGCACGAACAAGCCCTTCTGGAGGAGGAGGAGGAGAGAAGGAGGAGATTGGATTTATACCCCACCCAATGCTCCCTCTAAGGTGTGGAGTCTTGTGAGCAAAAATCCTACTTTCTGAGCTACTGGCATTAAAGTTGTGAGCGAGTGATTTGGCCGCTGCATAAATTAGTCTGCTCTGGAAACATCCTTCCTGAGCTAAGACAAAAATGTGTGAGCCAGAGGTTAAAAAACTGTGAGCTAGCTCACACTAACTCAGCTTAGAGGGAACACTGACCCCACCCTTCACTACCCGAAGGAGTCTCAGAGCGGCTCGCAAACTCCTCTCCCTTCCCCTCCCCACAACAGACACCCTGTGAGCAATGTTCCCTCTAAGCTGTGGAGTCCTGGGAGCAAAAATTCTACTTTGCGAGCTACTGGCACTAACGTTATGAGCGAGCAATTTGGCTACTGCATAAATTAGTTTGCTCTGGAGCCCCATCCTTCCTGAGCTAAGACAAAAATGTGTGAGCTGGGCCTGGTTCCCATGGACTGGGCGCGCAACCGTTCCATTAGCCCGCCAGCGGGAAAGTTATTCATTGGACCTGTATCTCTTTGAAGTTCCTTTATTATGCTTGATCTAACTGTGTATCCCCAGTTCTAACAAAGAACGTGTTTGAGTATGTCGTCAACGCTTTGAAATAAATTTTGCTTTTCTTAAAACGTGGATTTATTCTCGATGCTTGGGGATCCAACATATTGTTAGAACTCTCTTTTTCCTATCGTTCCGAATCTGGCGAGATCATGAGCGGAATTGAGGGAAACCTACCTACCACGGAGGGGGACTCTGGATCGGTCCCACAAACCTCCGCGTCTTTGGTGTTCACGACTGCAGCCTCGTTGGAGGGTGCCGTGGGGGGAGCGATTCCCCGCCTGCCTGCACATCTGTCTTGGCCGCCTCCGACCCCTTCGCAATGGGGTCCGCGGAAGACTCACCAGCAGGATGATTGGACTATGTACAACACCCAGGGCACCCGTGAGGTGTACTCCCGTCGGGGGAGCGGATTACGTGAGAGTCTATTTGACAAGGGATTGTTCCCGGAGCCGGGGGCTACCTCGGAGAAGGGGAGCCCCGAGCGGGACCTCGAGGAGTGGATGTTCGAGCCGTCGGGACCGCGGGGCCACGCAGGAGATGAGGAGGGCACCGGAGTCTTCCCAACGGAAGAGGACTATGACCCACCCCCGGACTACCGCCCTCGGGACCCCATCCCGGAAGAAACCACCGGGGAACGACTAGCAGAACTGGAAGACTCGGTGAGAGACTTGTTGCGGGCATTCCAGGATGTGATGGAAGGTCTGCCGGGAATGATGGACGTTCGAATGGCTAATTTCCTTGACGCACACGCCGCGCAGCAACAAGTTGCTCCTGCACCGGGACTTCCCGCGCCGCCGATGCCTGCTCAACCGCTGACGGGACCACCGCTGCAAGCACCGGGAGTTCCAGCGCAGCAGGTACCTGTACAGCCGCCAGTGAGACCGCCTCTGCAAGTGCCTGTGCAACCGCCGATGCCGGGGGGTCCGCCGGTGCCGGGTCTGCCGCCGCCGATGAGGCCAATGCCAGCGGGGCCACCGGTTGTGCCGGGTTTCCCTCCCAGGGGAGTTCCGGCTCAGCTGGGCCCGTTGGTAAGGCCTCCACGGCCCAGACCCAAAGATCTACTGGAGGCTACCTTTGACGGCAACCCAGATGAACTCGCTTTCTTCACGGTGAGGGTGCATAAATTCGTAGAAGAGAGTCGACACCTGTTCCGAAATGAAGCTGGCCTTATTGATGTCATCTCGGCGAGACTGAAAGGAGACGCCGCCACATGGTATGTTGGACTGCACAATGACCGCGGTCCGGAACTTTTGAATTTGCGAGCATTCATGTGGGCGCTGCGGGCGAGGTTTGAAGATGTCAACGCGAGCCAAAGAGCTAAAGCGTTTCTCCGCACCTACCGCCAGAACAAGAAGTCGGTTCGCGAGTACACACTGGAATTCCACAAGCAGGCAGCAAAGCTCCGAGACTACCCTGATCATATATTGGCTGAGATGTATCGATTGGGACTCAACGCAGACATCCGAGAAACGGTTCTGAAGACTGTCAATCCTGTCTCCCTGATGGCCTGGACCCAGGAAGCTGAAAATGCAGAGGATCGGCTCACCACCATCAAACTCGACTTGGCTGCTACGACCAACAGACCCGCCGCTGCCAGTGCCTCCAGACCCAAGACTCAACGCCTGTCGGAATCGGCACGAGAACTACGTATGAAGATGGGGCTCTGTCTCAAGTGCGGGGAGAAGGGGCATTTCGCTGTGGATTGTGGCAGCCGTCAGGTAAAAGACAAGCCGCCTACTCCGAGCCCTAAGACGCCACTGACGAGGCAGAAGGGGATGGCTAAACCGCGTTTCTCCAAAGCTTTGCAGGCGGCCCAAGGCTCGGAGGGGAACGATCCGTCTGCTGCCGAGTCAGAAGAAGAGGTGGTGGCTGAAACGGCGGAAAACGACAACGGCCTGTTGTGAGGGGCGCAAAACGACAAGGCCATTCTAATGCTGCGCCCAAGGTGGTGAGAGAAACCCCTTCCCTGTTTTTCGTGACTGTCTCGTTAATGAATCCGCTCCTGGGGACCCACGTTAGGGTGAGAGCGTTGATTGATTCTGGGTGTGGGAGGGATCTCATCAGCCCTAGAGTGTTATTGGCACTGGAAGCGGGGATAGTCCCCTTGAAGTCTCCCATCATTTTTACCCAAATGGATGGGGCACCCATGGAACCTTGTACACACGAGACTATGGCTTTGCGGTTGGGGGCTGGCGATCATTGGGAATCCAGATCCTTCATTGTTACCCCTAAATCGCAGTTTGACTTAGTACTGGGGAGTCCCTGGTTGTTTACCCATGACCCTTACATCTTGTGGGAAGAAGGGGTTGTCAAATTTGTGTCGGCTAAATGTGTAGATCACTGCTGGTTGGACTCGTGGGGGGACCAGCCGACCGCACAGTTCCCCTGCGGCGCTTTGCAGCCGGAAGAGTTAGCTTCTTTGCCTCGAGAGTATAGAGACTTGGCGAAAGTGTTTGGCGAAGATGAAGCTAACGAATTGCCCCCCCATCGCTCTACTGACTGTGCTATTGAACTTTTGCCTGACTGTAAATTACCTAAAGGTAAAATCTATGCGATGGGGCCGGCTGAGAAAGTTGAACTGCGGAACTTTATTGATAAAAACCTAGCCCGAGGTTTCATTCGCCCGGCTTCCTCCCCTTTCGCCGCGCCTGTACTTTTCCGAAAGAAGAAAGACGGGGGGCTTAGATTGTGCACTGATTATAGGGGTCTGAACGCTGTTTCTTTGTCCAATGCCTACCCCCTCCCGCTAATCAAGGACTTGGTAGCTGAGGCCACCAAGGGCAAAATCTTCTCGAAACTTGACCTCCGAGATGCATATTTCCGTGTGCGCATTCGGGAGGGGGATGAAAGTAAGACTGCATTTAATACCCCTTTGGGGCAGTTTGAGTACCTCGTTATGCCCTTCGGGCTTCAAGGGGCTCCGGGGGTCTTCATGAACCTAATCAATGAGGTCCTACATGAGTTCTTGTTCAAAGGAGTGGTCCTTTACCTTGATGATGTGTTGCTGTACTCTCAGGACCTCCCGTCGCATATTAAATTGGTGCGCCAGGTCCTTAAGCGACTTTATGAACACCACCTGTTTGCAAAGCTGTCAAAATGTGAATTCCACAAGACATGCATTGACTTTTTGGGTTATCGCATCTCTGGGGGGAAGGTGGAAATGGACCCTGCTAAAATACAGGCTGTACTTGACTGGGAACCCCCCAGGACCCGCAAACAATTGCAAATGTTCCTCGGATTCGCCAATTTTTATAGAAATTTCATCCAGAATTTCGCTCAAATTGCCCTTCCCCTGACTGATTTGCTA